GGCTTTCCATAACCACCCAATAAAATATTGGACTCTCCCTCCTCACCCTCACTATCACTCTTAGTCTGTTTATTTTTCCTCATTGTATTGCTTGTCTGCCATATGATTTGTTTACTGTTTCCAGCCCCACTAGTACATAAATTTAATGAGGGAGGACTTCCTTTTATTCTGCTGTTTATTCCTTTAACCTAGAATGGTAGATACTGAAAATATTTGTTAATCAGTAAATGGACTAACAAGTGCTTTGGGAAATCTAATGTCTTCCAAGTTTTCTTCCCTAAGTGAAGCTTTTGCTTATTAATAGTAACCTGGTAAAATGCCTAAAGCTCAGTTTGCTGGCTGATTTGTACTGTGCATAAAATAGTGTTGAGTTTTTTTTGTGTCTCTCAAATCTAACTAGATGACTGCTCTCTTAATCTATGCCCATACTTAGCTCTATTTATTGGCAAATTAAACCATTTCATATTTATTTGCATTATTTGGGAATTGAGCCCAGGGCCTTCCACTGAGCTATATCCTCAATTCTTTCTTAATTTTTACTTTGAGACAGGGTCTCCCTCATTTGCTCAGGCTGGATTCAAACTTGTGATCCCCCTTCCTCAGCCTCCCAGATTGTTGGGATGACAGGTGTGGACCAAGAAAAGTGTCTTGAACTTTATTGATGAAAGATTTTTATTCATTTTTAAATCATTCTGCACATTGCAGTGCATTCAGATTCTTACAAGAAGGCTCATTAATGTCTCCAAATATTCCCAGGCCCTCTTTTCTTGGCTCCTTCTAATCTCCTAATTATTGACTGTTTAAAGTAGGCATGGGGAGGAAAGTCTTGTTTCAAGGCAGGTCTTATTGAGATTAAGAGCTGATAAATGTGCCTTTTGGCTTCTTGTCCTCCCTGAGAAATAGTGTAGCTTGCTTTTTAATCTTCTTCTTGGTCAGCGACCAGATGCAGTCTGGTTTCCATTTGAAGATTAGTTGTACTAATTTTGTGATGATTAGAATATCTGTTGAGCGGGTGCAGCATCCTTCCTAGGAACAGCCCAAAGTTATAAAATATAAACGTTCCCATGTGACTTTTATCCTAAAAGCAAGCCTATATTTGTAATTTACAAGTGCAGTCATGATTAAAAACAAAAACAAGACCAATTTAATCTCAAATGTTTCCTCCTTTTTTTTTTTTTTAAAGTTCTGCTGTTTATGAGAATCTGAAGCCAAAATGCCACATTTGCCCTTAGTTTTTGTAAAAAGTACCTTAAATGTTAGAGTAAGCCTAAATTTCCATTGAAAATTTTTACATACTAATTTTAGCATTATAATGGATCCACAATGATAGTAATTTAAATTTTACAAGACACCTTCTGCAGAAAAGTTTTGCTTTTCTTCCTCCAGGAAATTCTTTTAATTGGGAGCTCCAGAATACATGCCCTAACACTTCCTAAGTTTGGTAGAAATATTTGGCAGCAACTGAGGTGCTGCTGTGGATAATAATTACAAACATCATAATTACCATATTTGTTTAATGTAACCTGTGTTCACATGGTCACGTGATGGGCTAATTACTATGTGAGCATCTTTGAGAGTGCTGACCTAACTACCATGTTGCCTTTAAAAATAAACTAGTAAGAGGTGCTTAGCTTCTACTAAAACAAATATACAGTAGGGTTAATTTTTCTTATTCATAAGTGGCCTCCCTACTATCAGCCTTTACTCCATTTAGAGCATCTAGCTTAGCTAGTTAAATCATTTTAAGACATTGTTTTCTCACGTCATGTCATTAGTAAAACCTTTTAGTTGTTTTACATTTCAAGAGCCCAACTCAACTCAGTTTTAGACACACACACACACATTTTTTTCCTTTCCTCTAGTGGGAGAAAGATTGAATATAATCTAAATTTGAAATCTTTTATACTTAATAGCTGACCCCTAAAAATCGGACCCCTGACTACTTTTCTAGCCTTATCCTCCACTGAATTTTAACTAAACTCAGTGCTAAAGTCTAACATGTCTACTTATTCTCCAGAAACACTTTTTGTCTTCTTGATTGCTACCTGGGAGCATAGTTTCTTATTGCCTGTTTTCCATCCCTTTCCTGTAAATGCTAGCTTAACTAAAACTTGTTCCTTTGTCCCTAGTCTACACAGATACCCCATTCACTTTGATATCATATATTGATTTGTTAGTTGACTTTATTTTCATGGACATAACTACCCATGTAGATTGTGACCTGCCTAAAACTAGAACTGTCTTTTTTATTTGCATGTGATTCACACACAGAAAATGTTTAATATTTATTTCCTTCTAAGAGTTTGTGATTTTACATATTTGTTTCATAAATGGAATGCTTTAGTCTTTTAAGTTTCTATGTAATTTGGCTTCTGATATTAAAAAAAAATCTCTATGCCCACTTACGTAGATGTAACTTAAATTTTTAGATTCTACTTGTGCCAACAGAAGTCTGTTTGTGAAGTATACTAGATGGTTCATTGGCATGTATTTTTGTGCACTGTTTTCTGTTGCTGTAACAGAATATCTGAGGCTAGAAAATTTATTTAAAAAAAAGACTTATTTTGGCTCAGAGATCTGAAAGCTGAAAATCCCAGTCCCAAGGTGCTGGCATTTTCTCAGTTTCATTTGATCAGTGAGGAGATTGTGTAGCTTCAACTCATAGCAGGAAGCAGAAGGGTAAGCTTACACATATGAAAGCAACAAAATATGAGGGGTAACTTTGCTTTATAATAACTCAACCCGTTATATTGGTGATTCATCCTGAGTCTCCTGAGTGTGAACACCTACTCCCAGGAGATGGTTTTCATCTGTTCACAGGGCTCTGCTGCCATGACCGCCACACCATCCAGAGGCCTCATCCCAACACTGATGTGCTGAGGTGTGAAGCAGCCTCATGAACCACAGCATCTGTAGAAATGCACCTGAGAAGTGTAATAGAGAAGGTTGACAATCTGACTCAAGTATCATAAGTTGATACAACTTGGTTCCCAGTATAGTTTTTTTGTTTCAGAAACTGAATGGATTTATGCTAAACACATTCACACATGTATTAGTTTATAAGAGCTGATCCATTGTGCTCCTGGAACTTTGCACCAAAGAACAAAATATTGTCTAGGAATTTGGTGAACAGAGAATAAGTGAGGGGAACGGGACATGGTCATGCATACGTAGAATCCCAGTTACTTTAGAGGTTGAGGTAGGAGGACTGCAAGTTCTAGACCAGCCTGGGAAATTTATCAAGACACTGCCTCAAAGTAAAAGACAAAAAGGTCTGGGAATATATGGTTCATGGTAGAGTGTTTGCCTGGCCTGGGTGAGGACTTGAGTTCAGTTCCCAGAATCACCAAACAAAACCAAAACCAAACCAACAAACGAAACTGAATATTTTGAAGGCATCTTCTTTTCTTTAAATTTTTTATTTTTTTGAAGGCATCTTCAATGAAGCTATGATGCCCTGAAGAGCTTTTGTTTCTTGACCAGATTGAAATCATTATTTGGGATCCTAAAACAGGACTCATTTCTACTTTTCAACTCTAATTTTTCTAAAACTCTTTTGTTATCACTACAGATTTGGACTTAATAGAATTTCACCCTCTCATATTAACGGTTTGGTTAATGTTAAGATATGGTTTAATGTCTGTGTTTCAAACCATGCCGTCTCTGGCTGATTGCTTTGACTGGTTGCTCATCTCTAGCTCTTCTACCATGCAGCCAGCCTTCAAGGAAGCTAATAGACTAAACTGGCTGAGAACTTTCATTATCCTTGTCCTTCTCTAATTTATGTGCTAGGTACAAGTACCAGCTCCACATGAGGAATGTGAACATAATGTACTGTGAACATGGACAGAAAACAAAATAAAAGAGAAAAAAGAGGAAGGGAAATCAAGGGATGCAAGGAGGAGGGAGGAAGAGAAAGGAAAGGAGATGAAAAAAGGAATTTAGATGTGTATGCGCATGTACCAACTTCCTGCAAGAATTTAAACCTACTACACACATGTACTAATAAGCTAAAATTTAAAAATAATCAGGCTATAGGCTCGATAGATATTTAAAAAATGATTTATACATATTTATTGTTTAAAAATCACTTAAACCTGGTCTTATCCTTGCTTCTTAACAGATATGGACCAGGATTTATAATCTGTTAATAGTGGGCTATAAGAAGAATGCTAGTTAAAATACGCAACTCTATCGATGAAAAGAGCTGAGCTGAAAAATGGAGGGCTGAGATCAGTTTTCATTACTGCTAAGTTATTTTGGTCATTTTATTGGTGTCAATAATCTACCAATTTCTTTCTTTCTTTCCTTCTTTTTCTTTCTTTCTTTCTTTCTTTCTTTCTTTCTTTCTTTCTTTCTTTCTTTCTTTCTTTCTTCTTTCTTTCATTTCTTTCTTCTTTCTCTTTCTTTCTACATTAACAGAAGCTGTGGACTGAGAGTATTAAGTCAGTGGTAGAACACGTGCCTAGCATCCATGAAGCCCTGAGTTCAGTCTCCAACACCACATACAAAAAAACCAAAACCAGGGCTGGGGATTTAGCTCAGCGGCACAGCGCCTGCCTGGCAAGCGCAAGGTTGTGAGTTCGGTTCCTGGTACTGGAAAAAAACCAAAAAAAAAAAAAAAAAAACCCAAAACAAAAAAACCAAAACCAACAGCCAACCAAACCTATTTTCCTGCCTCATGTTGGAGGAAAAATTTTGTGCAATTCCTTCAGATATTAAGATTCAATATAAAAGTATTAATCACTTTTGTTTCAATTGGATATTAAGTTTCTACATAAACCACCCCATTTTAGAACTACTGTGTCTGACCCTATTCGACATTATGCGTCACTGGCAAATAAAATAAATAAAATTAATCTTTGAAGAACTGCAGTAAAAGAAATCTCCCTAAATATAAATAGGACTAGAACAGAATGTCCGCATTTAAAAAAAAAACCAACAAAACTGACCACAATTGTTCAAAGCCAACTGAAAAATTCCTTTTCATGTTTTAACAGGATTTCTACTCTACTGTAAAGATATTTAAAGTGGAAGTCATGAAATCATATTGAAATGGGTACCTGTAAGCAAGAAGCAGTTCCTCTACAGCAGCAGTAAATGGCCAACAAATAGTCCTATGGTTTGTATATTATGTGGTCTTTAAGTTCATTTGACCGAAAGGAGAAATCTATGACATAAGAGATGGAAAAAATGAGAGAATTTTGTCAAAAAGAATTTTAATTTTAGTTATGATTACTCACTTAACTGTCATTGTAAAATATTTTATAGTATTCTTAGTTATGTCTTCACAAATAGCATTTTTTTCATCAACCATTTTAAGACTATTAAAAGCTTTTCACAAATTTTACTTATTTGTATTTCTTTTATGAATGGAAAAGAAATTTGTATACATTCTATGTTTAATAAATGTTTTGCATTTTTGACCAAGGAAGAAGGTGTGTGGATAAAACATCATTTATATACTACTTGGGTTAGCAATTGCTACAGAATAAGAACATAATAATATATACATTAAGTCTGATTTGAACATCTTGATGGATACCTGAGTGCTGATTGAGATGCTACACAGTGATATAATCTTATTTTCTAAATATAGACATACCAGGCTGGTAAAAGCTTCAATTAACAGCACAGTAAATAATAGGATTGATTTTTATCATGTACACAGACTGATGACTAATACATAGGCATTTGTTATATAGTCAAATTCTTCACAGTTCAAGATGTGATAAATCACATAAGCATTAATTTGGGCAAGTGTGCAGATGAAAACAAGTTAGAAAAAAGTTACAATAATGAAAGGGTCTATGAGTTTTTTTTTGTAAAAATAGAAGGTAATTTAAAAGTTAAAATGTAATGTCTTCTTCCCTTATATATATATTTCTTGAAAAAACAATAGAATACAGAACAGAGACGAAGAAAAATATTTACAAAACCTTTTTCCAAAAAGTTCAATTTTATGGCGATTTCTCTCTTAAAGCTCATTAAATTATGTAAATTATGAGAAATAGGAAGATTTGAATATGTTAACAAATTATTTTGAAAGTAACAATTTTAATTATAGGACCTATAGAAGAAATAAAATATTACCAAAAATTCTCATCTGGGTAAATTGTTATAAAAAATGAGAATGTGTGGTTTATAAATTACTGTCACTGTATATTGCCACTTTTCACCATATTTGTAAAATAGAGCTTTGCACTGATACATTGAGAAGAAATAAATAAAATTCAGTACAATTCTGAATAAATGAGCTACAATAAACTGCCGCTTTTCATAGACACTATTATTATTTGCTAAAAATTTATATACATATTTCAATATGTCTATGTGTACATAAAATTATGAACTCAGCCTGCAGATGTAGCAGACTTGTAGAGCCCTTTCCTGGCATGTCTGAGGCCCTGGGTTCGATCTCTAGCACCACACACACACACACACCAAAAAAAAAACCCAACAAAAAACAACAACAAAACACCTAAGAAATATTTACAGATCTTAAAGCCCTCTAAGCACATCTGTTTCCCAGTACAGCAAGTTTTAGTAACACACACCTCCCCTCCCTGCTATTGGTTGTACACACAGAGCATCAAAGTTAATACTTTAGGAAGATACTTAATTTGGGGGAAAATGTCCATATATGGCCAATACACTGAGCAGTCTCACAACAGATCCTTGTTCTGCCCTGAGAAATCTATCTCCCTCCCTCCTCTAAGTCCTGTTAAATTTCCAGTTTCCTCAAAACAAACCACATGTAGTTCTTTTTAGGCCCTTAACTACGATCCTAATTATTCTGTTTTATAGCATTTTAGCTTACCAGTTATATCCTTTAAAAAACTTAACACTGGCAGTAGATACATTCTTGGGGTGGTATCAGAAGCATATGAATGGTCTTGTACCTGTCTTTGAAAGTTTTCTTCTTTTCTTTTTCTTTGCATTACTGGGGATTGAAAGCAGAGGTTCTCTTCTATTGAGCTATATCCCAGCCCCTTTTTTGGTTTTTATCTTATTTTGAGACTGGGTCTTACTAAGTTGCTCAGGCTGGCCTGGAACTTGCTATCTTCCTGCCTCAGTCCCCCAGGTAATTTTGGTTTTGTTTTTGGTGCAGCTGCTGATTGAACCCACATCTCACATGCTTGATGATCACTCTACCACTGAGCTATACTCACAGCCTCTCAGTCTTGTTCTGGATATTAATTTTCTGGTAACACAGCCAAACAGGACATTTATTTGTAGCAGCTACCTAGCACTAAGGCTTATGTTAATCTTGTGATTAATTAACAGTCATAGATCTATTTCTTATGAACTATTTAGTTCTTATGTACCCCAAATAACTTTATAAAGCTTATGTTTTGAAACTCAAATATGCAGCATTACTAGAGTGTTTTAACTGGATTTCATATTCAAGTTTCTTAATATGTAGAACCAGCCTCAGCAACTATCCTCTTCAGTGGATAGTTAATGGACAGCCACTTGGAATTTCTGTTTTATTCAAGTCTTCTGCCCAGAAACCAACTAAGTAAAATATTTTGAGTTGGTATGCAGAGTCCTGTGTAACAAGGGCTCCCAAGTGCTCATGGGGAGAGCTCAGCAATGTGGACAGGGTGCTGGGGAGTCAGCAGGTCTAATTTCCAGTATGGTACTAGTTGACTGATAAGTTAGGAAGTCACTGAGACTCAAATTCCTTATCTGTATTAAAATGGGAAGCCAAACAGAGAAAGGAAAACAGAAACTGCTTGTTTTCTCTCTTGTGTGGAAACCCAAACTCAAGCAGAAAGTAGTAGAATAGTGATTACTTCAGGCCGGAAAGGGAGAGATGGAGACAGATAAAGGGAGGCGGGCTAATGGGTGTACCAAAACACAGCTAGAGAGAAGGAATAAGGTCTGGTGCTCTGCAGTACAGGGTGATGGCTATAGTTCACAAAAACCTATTATATACTTTATGAACATCTAGAAGAAAGGGACTAAAAAACTCTAAACATCAAGAATTGGTAAGGAGAGGAAAATGCTAACTGCCTTGGCTTGATCAGTGTGTACTGTACAGTTGCCATGAAATGTCACACTGAATGCCATTAGTATGTGCAATTAATTAGTGGATACCAAGTTATAGTTTGATAGAAGTTCTGGTGTGCTGTTATACAGCAAGGGAACTATAGATAATGATCATGAAAAAACTTAGAATATGTATAATTAATATATCTTATCAAAAATAAAAATAAAATGGGGACTAAGTAGTCCATTTGCCCATGTTAAAAGTTTTGGGGATTTTAAAAAAAGATGATGAATCTGGAAATTATGCCTATAAAAGTGTAAGTCCTGATAATACATAGAATATTAAACCTCCAACCTTGTTCCTTCTCTCTCCTTCACTTAAATGGTTCAAATTCTTGTTCATAATTCAAGGCCAAACTCAAGCTCTATTTCTTGGATAAAAACTTGATTTCCCTCATCAGCATTAACATCTTATTTCATGTTTCCTAGAGAAATACATCTGTACTCTCAATATTTCATTTTCAAATTCTGTACTGGATTCCAGGTAGTCTTTTCCCTCTCTGTTTGTGCATCGTGATGAACAGGTACTATGCCTTGCACACGTTTATCCTCCCACAGTATCAGAATTGTGGTTTACTATTATTTCTATTTTTATAGGTGACTCATCCAAAGCAGAAAGGTTAGATCACTTACTGATGTCACATTATATTTTAAATGGGAAGGAGGCCCTGGTCTGCCTGGCTTCCAGTCTTGGGCTCTCTCTGCAGTGCTGAACAATCTTCCTCACCTTGTCCTGAGGACTCTTAGTGCTTGTTGATGAGAGTGCACACCAATTTTCTGTTCTTTCTCAGTCTCTTTTTCTCCCTTCAGAAGTCCTATTATGGAATTGCATTTATCTTCATTCTGCAATTGGACATGTGCTTTTATGTCATTTGGAGAGCATAGCTGACAGGGTCCGTGTTGACAATTTTTTAAGAATGTTGGGGTGATGTTGTTTTCTCCCCTAAGGGAGAAATTATATCTCCCATAATACTAATTAGATGGATTTTGCTGGTTGGAAATAAATCCAAATTGCCCAGAGCATTTCCTTAAACTTATGAACTATATCCACAGTATTACATATCTTGCTCCTATGAAAAGCATGTTAGTGATTGGGGGTATAGCTCAGTGGTGCAAGTGCCTGTCCAGGAAGTGTGAGGTCATGAATTCAATTCCTGGAACCACCAAAAAAAAAAAAAAGCATGTTAGAAGTCTGCCGATGCAGTGCTCAGGGCCCTCTTGATTTGACCTTGTGAACACAGCACTCTCCTCCATGCTGCTTGTTTACCTTAGATTGGCTCTTATGAGTTGGACTTTTCCTAATGATCATTGCTTCTGACCTCCTACAGTTTCTTGTCATCAGCTCAGCTTTGGTCTTAAGGTATTTTTCAGCCCATTTTTTCCCCCACAGATTAACTTCCAGTTCTCAAATCTGTGTCTGATAGTTATAAGAGTTTTAGGCTTCTTTAAGTTCTACTAATAATAAGGTCTAATAAATGGTGCTAGGAAATTGGCTTTGCACATGGTGAAGATTAAAACTAGACCCATATCACTCACTGCACTAAACTAAAATTGAATATGTCAAACATCTAAATATTAAAACAGAAACAATCTGATGGAAATAGAATACATAAAACTCTTGAAGACATTGGTGTTGACAAACACTTTATGAACAAAACCCCAGTTGCACAGTTACAAAGTATCAACAACTGGGATCTCATCATATTAAAAAGATTTGGACAGCAAAAGAAACTACCAACAGGGGGAAGAGACAATCTATAGAATGTGAAAAACTTTTTACCAGCTATTCCTCAGAAAAGGACCAGTTTTTTCTCCAGACACATATGTAGACTATACAAAGAATTAAACAAACAAACAAACTCAGACTCCCTAGTTCAAAAACCCAATCCAAAACTGGTCATCTGAAATGAATGGGCATTTCTCAGACAAAGAAGTACAAACAGTAAATAAATATGTGAAAAAATTCCCAACATCACTGGTCATTTGAGAAATGCAAATTAAAACAATGCTGAGATCCTGTCTCACTCCAGAAAGAATGGCTATTGTCAAAAAACAACCAATAACAAATGCTGGTGAGGCTGTGAGGGGAAAGGAACTCTTCTCCACTGTTGGGAGTGTAAATTGGTACTTCCACCATGAAAATCAGTATGGACATTCCGCCAAAAACTAAAACTAGAGTTGTATTTGACCCAGCTCTTCCCCTTCTTAGTATCTTCCCAAGCGTTAAAAGCATAATACCAAAGTGATATATGCACCTATATTTATAGCAGCACAGTTTGTAATAGCTAAATCTTGGAAACAGCCCATATGCCTATCAGAGGATGAATGGACAAAGAAAATGTGGTTTTTAAATACAATGGCATACTACTGTGTCATAAAGAAGGATAAGCTTGGGACATTTTTAGGTAAATGGATGCACCTTGAGACCATACTTCTAAGTGAAATAAATTGGACACACATACTTAAATACTACATTGTCTTTCTTGTGTGAGAAAGTAGAAGGGTAAAAAAGGGCCAAAATGGATGATAGATATTGGGAAGTAGGAAAAAAATGTTCAAATGGGAAGGGGAACCAGCAGGGGTGAAGGGGAAGGGAGGAAAGTGCAAAGGAGAAAAAGAGAATGGAAGAAGAAAAGTGCAAACCAAGCTACTGTACATGGGGAGGTGAAGAAGGAGTGAAGGGAAGTGAAGAGAGTGGGAAAAAAAAGAAAAATCAAGATATATTATGTACAGGTACAAATTCCCTATGATGAACACGAACATGATATCAAAAGTGTACCAATAAAAATTTTTTGAAATAATCTCTAAAAATTGACATTTACTGAGTGCTTTACCCTGTGACAGGCACTGGGAGAATGCTTTTACATTCATTATATCTGTTCAGAGTGCTAAAAGTGTCCCCATTTAGCAGAGAAGAAAAAGAGGCTTATAGATGTTATTTGGCTTGTTTAAGAGGAGGTGGGATTTGATTCTAAGCCTGCCTGCTACTGTACTTATGTTCTTAACCAAGATCTAGTTACTGCTTCTTTCTGCCACCTGGGAGCTAACTATGACTAGCATTTATGCTTGCATTATTGAAAATAACTTATTAGTCATAGCCAGTTTTTTTTTTTTTTTTAACTTTTAGTTTTCATGGTGCTGGGGATCAAGCCAAGGGCCTCATGTGTATTAGGCAAACTCTCTACCATGGAGCACATCCCCTGCCCTATTCAATTATACAAGCTTATCTATGTGAATTGTACACAGGTGGATTTTTATTTTTCTTATTACAGTAACAATTGCACTAGTAATAGGCAAGCTAGCCAATAATCACTAACAATACTATGGTCACTTTTTAAATCCCTTGACTTCAATGCACCTGTTGCATCAGTATTAAAACCCCCAGTCTCTTTCAGAGAACAACTGGGAGAAATGCTCTGGTTTCTTCCAGATAATGTGGTATGAGACTGAAGCTTGGAGTTGCTACAGTTCTTCCGATTGTGAAGGAAGCCAGACAGACAGCAAGGATGGCAGAGGAGAGGACAGCTGGGGGAATAGCAGCAGGCGCCTAGTGGTTTGTGGGTCAAATCCTGACTGAAGTCAATACCTATTCTATGCAAGCTTTTCTCCTTTGTTTTTTGTTTTTATTTATTTTTATTTGATGAATTTAAATCAGATTTACTGTTATTACTAAATAAAAGCATCATGACCAACAGTAATGCACTGGAAATGTTTTCCTCAGATCTTTTATTTCTTTGTTAACGTCATGGAGCCTGAAAAACTTTCTGGGTTATGGGTTCTGGATTTATAACTTCATCATTTCTGGGCTGTTTGTGAATTTTAGTCTTTTAGTATTGTTCCTGCTTGCCTGTTACAGCGAGGCTCCATTTTGACAGGCCGCAGGAACAAGAGAGGAACAGAATGTGAGGAAGAGATGAACGAAGTGTACTCTTCTGATGAGTTATTCTAGTGCAGCATTCTGTGCTCAGGAATTGGAGTAAGCTCAGAAACTTTAAGTTCTTGGACACTACTTTATGTAAATACTTTGACTAATAGTTTTTAGATGGTTGAGCTTTGGCTGGTGACTAAAAAATCTTTCCTTTCTGACAAGGGATGTTACAGGTGAGTTCGCATCTCCAGGTCTACATATTGTTAAATTTGTCTTTAACTGAGAGGATCATTTGAACTGCAAAAAGATGATAAACATATGATACTTAAAACATCCTGCAAATGAGTGGGTATTCTGTAATTGAGCTCATTTTTCTACTCATCTGAGGAAATGTGAGAGTGACTAACCTGTTCCTTTGCCAGCCGCAGGCAGGCGTTGCACTTTCATGCCTCTGCTGCAGGAGCTGTTATTCTTGTTTCCTATATGTACAGACAAGTTAAAATTCCCTACCCTTCCCTCATCTTCTTTCTCTCCTTCACTTCTTATTTTCCTTCTTATTCTAACAGACCCAGAGAATATTTTTACTGGAAACACGGATTAATCTTTTAACTTTTATTTTGAGACAGAGTCTAGCTACATTGCCCAGGCTGACTTCATATCTGTGATCCTTCTGCTTCAGCTTCCTGAGTAGCTAGGAGGAAAGACTTGAGCCATCAGCACACCCAGCCAACACTGAGGTCTCTGAGAGTGGGAACTGTGTTTTTTCTTTTAGTGTCTTGTGCCTACACATTTGGCATCTCAATGGCTGTTAGTTTAAAGGGCTCAATCAGGAGACTAAAAGATGGGGTGGGAATTTGATGGATGTGAAGGCTCCGAGGAGGGGTTTGGGTACTGGGGAGAGGATCTTTCCCTGGAGCAAAGTGCAGATTTTTAATGAGAAACTTCCAAGCACTGCTGTGGACTCTGGTCCACATCACAGTGTTCAATCCTCACAGGGTGTGGAAGCAACTTGCTGCTTTTTCCTTTCCTCCATAACAAATCTTAAGATTTTTAGCTGCATACACATGCAGAAGGTGTGTGTGCGTGTGTGTGTGTGTGTGTGTGTGTTTCAGGAAACGTTCTTTTCTATTTTCAAGGGGAAAAATTAAAATAACAGTAAAACAATTTCAGAACAGATTAGTAGGAGAGTTACAATAATTAATACACTGTGTATTGTTGTCTTCACAGTAGCTATTTAGAGTACAAAATATAGGCATATATAGGCATATTTTGCTCAAACAACATTAGCACAAACCTTTCTTTTCAATGAATTAAGAGAAGCTAGCTATATAACTATCTTAACTACCTTCTGTATACAGACATTTTTCCCTTTCTTCTTTTCCCCTTCCCCCATCACAGTTTGTTTTTTCTTTAGAAGAGTTTCTTCCCAATTCACTATATCGATTGTACATTTTGGATCTTATTTACTCTTCCAGCTTCTCACACTAGGGAGACAATACAATGTTTACATGTATGGGTCTGATTTATTTCACTTATGAGTATGGTCTCAAGTTGCATTCCTTTACCTATAATGTCTCCAGTTTATGCTTCTTTATGGCTGAGTAGTACTCCATCATATAAAAAAAACCAAATCTTTTTTTATCCATTCCTCAGCTCATGGGCATTTGGGTTGTTTCCAGGATTTAGCTATACAGCCTTGCTGCTATAAATATGGGTGCACATATATTGCTGTGGTATGGTGTTTTTAAATTCTTCTGGGAAGATACACAGAGGGGAATAGCTGGGTTGAATGAAATCTCTAATCCTGATTTTTAAAGGACTCTCCACACTGATTTCCACAGTAGTTGCACCATTCTACACTCCCATGAACAGTGGAGGAGGGTTCTTTTTCCCCCATAGCCCCACTACATTTGTTATTGGTTGATTTTTCAATAATAGCCATTCTTTCTGGAGTGAGATGGAATCCCAGTTTTGTTTTAATTTGCATCTCATAAATGACCAATGTTGTTGAACATCTTTTTCATGTATTTATTTGCCATTTGTATTTCTTCCTCTGGGAAGTGTGTATTCATCTCAGATGCCCATTTTTGGATTGGGTCTTTGAATTTGGGGGATCTGATTATTTTCAAGTCTTTATATGTTCTAGATAGAAGTCCTTTGTCTGAGGGACAGTTGGCTAAAATATTGTCCCACTCTGTGGATTGTCTTTTCACTCTGTTGGTGATTTCTTTTGCTGTGGAGAAGCTTTTTAATAAGATAAGACACCATTTATTGATTCCTTGTAGTGTTTCCCTTGCAGTCTGGGTTTTGTTCATGAAGTCTCTGCCTACACCTATATGTTTGAGAATTCTACCTATTTTCTCTTCCAGTAGATTTAGTGTTCTGTTTTAATATTTAGATCTTTGATACATTTTGACTTTAGTTTAGTACATGGTGATAGACATGGGTCTGGTTTTAGTCTTTAGCATATGGAAAACCAATTTTACCAGCACTATTTATTAAAGAGACTATTGTGTCATAGGTGGGTTTGGCTATTTTGGCAAAGATAAGGTGACTGAGTGTATTTGGGGTTGCATCTGCATTTTCTATTCTGTTCCACTGATGCTCAAGGCTGTTTTTTTGCTCCAATTCCATACTTATTTTATCACAGTAGCTTTGTAGTGTACTTTCAGGTCAGGAAATGTAATGCCCCCTGACTTGCGTTTGAGCTCAGAACTGCTTTTGCTATTCTCAGTCTCTTCTGGTTCCAAATGAATTTTAAGAGTGTTTTCTCTAGATCTTTTACATCCTATGATAGATTAATTCCTAAGTATTTCATTTTTTTAGATGCTATTGTGAAGGGTTTGCTTTTCCTAATTTCCCTCTCTGAGCTTATTTCTTGTGTACAGGAATGCTATTGATTATTGAGTGTTGACTTAGTATCCTGCTACACTGCTGAATTTAGATATTAAATCTACACATTTTTTGGTGGAGTTTTTGGGGTCTTCTTTGTAAAGTATCATGTCATCTGCAAACTATAATAATTTAACTCTTTATTTTCCTGTCTTTATTCCTTTCATTTTTTTTTCCCTCTTGTCTAAATGCCCTGGCTATTGAATAGGAGTGGTGATAATGGCATTTTTGTCTTGTTCCTCATTAGAGTGAAATTTTTCAGTTTGTGACCACTTAGTATGATATTAGCTCTTGGTTTGTCATAGATGGCTTTTATAAGATTGAGGTAAAGACCATCTGTTGCAATTTTCTGTAGGGTTTTTATTATGAATGGGTGTTAGACTTTGTCAAATGCTTTTTTTACATCTGCTGAGATGATCATGTGATTTTTATCTTTGGTTCTATTAGTATGGTGTATTATAATTACTGATTTGCATATGTTGAACCATCCTTGAATCCCTAGGATGAATCCTACTTGGTTGTGGTGAATAATCTTCTTGATAATTTGTGGCATTCTGTTTGCAAGTATCTTATTAAGGATTTTTGCATCTATGTTCCTTAGGGAGATTGCCCTGTAGTTTTCTTCTTTGGTTGTGTTCTTCTCTGGTTTTAGAATCAGGGTAAAACTTACTTCCAGGATGATTTTGGAAGCAGTAGCTTCCCTTTCAATTTCTGTAAAGAGTTTTGGCATTGGTGGTACTAGTTCTCCTCCAAATTTCTTGTAGAATTCATTGGTGAATCCATCAGGGCCTGGGCTTTTGTTTTTGTTGGTAAAGTTTTAGTTACATTTTCAATACCATTCACTGATATTGTGTTATTTAGAATTTTTATATCTTCTTGATTTAGTTTTGGCAATTCAATTGTGTCTAGGAATCTGTCCATTTTTTCTATTTTCTGTTTTATTAGAATATAGGTTCTCATAGTAGTATTGATGAGCTCCTGGATTTCTGTGGGATCTATTGTAATTTTCTACTTTTCATTCCTAATTGCTTCAGTGTATATTCTTTCCTTCCTCTTTTTGACGAGGTTGGCTCATAGTTTATCAATTCTATTTATTCTTTTAAAGAACCAACTTTTTGATCCATTGATTCTCTGTATTGCTTTCTTAGTCTCTACTGCATTAATTTCTATTCTTATCTTTATAATTTCTTCCCTTGTATGGCTCTTCTTTTCCTAGAAGTTTGAGGTTCCACATTAGGTTGTTTATTTCAGCTCTTCTGTTTTCCTAATGCACGAGTTAATCACTATAAATTTCCATCATAAGATTGCTTTCATTGAATCCCGAGGTTTCAGTATGTTTTATTAGAATTATCATTTAATTGTATATACTTTTTAATTTCATGTTTAATTTCATATGTGACCCATTGGTTATTCAGAAGGGTGTTGTTAAATTTCCATGTGTTAATGTAATTTTGTGGTTTCTTTGTTACTGATTTCCAGTTTCATTGCACTATGGTTAGATAGTATGCATGGGATGATTTCAGTTCCTCTGCATTTACTTAAACATGTTTTGTCAACTAATATATGATCTATTTTGGAGAATGTCCCATGTGCAGCTGAGAAGAGTGCACATTCTGATGTTGTGAGGTGGAACACTCTGTAGACATCTACCAAGTCTATTCTTTCACATTCTTGGTTTAATTCTAATATTTCTTTGTTGATTTTTGTCTATTTGGTAGTGGGGGTATTAAGTACTCTCACTACAACTGTGTTAGTGTTTATTTGGTTTTTCCTGTCAGTTAATATTTGTTTTATGTAGTTGGGTGAGCATGTGTTTTTTTGTTTTGTCTTTCTTGAGACAGAAGCTCACTATGCAGTTCAGGCTGGTCTTGAGCTCACTTTGTAGCCCAGGCTGGTCTCAAACTCACAA